GAAAACCCCACCTCTAGAGGACACGTAACACAGCTGGATTATAAAAAAACCTAAACATGTTGCACTAAATATACAACACTTGCAAACTTTATAAACATTTAATTACACATCTGAATACTGAGTCTTCTTAATTAAGCACATCATGCCTCATGACACACACATTTAACTAACAGTGTCTGGCTATTTTAGTCATTATTTTTTCTCTAGTTTCAAGATTCTTGGAACATTATTTCTTTTGTACGTCCCTTAATCAAATTTGTTACCTAATGTTATGACAACAGGAGGTGATTTTTCCATTTGCAAACAAAAAGAGACATGATCATGGGCTTAATTAGTTTGCAATGATTTAATTAAAATTTGCAGAACAACAATGTACCTAATTACGAGCATAATAATTATACCAATGTACTTTTCAATCTTTGAAGGGACTATTAGTCATTCAGGTGGTATGTTTTGTAATTTAAGATCATGCTTATTTTCATTTTCTGATTAGTTAAGTGCAGTCATCGTCATGTTCAGGTAATTGCTTTATTAACTAGCTTAATTAAACTTCCTGTAAAACTGACAGCTACACAGTTATTCTTAATGTGTTGCTGACAAAAACATTAACTAATTACATAGTGCTCTTTGCAGGGCTTACTTACATCACAAGCTCAATTCATTAGTACTTTAAAGAGCTTTGAAAACTCTGACTGCAATATACTGTGGAAATGTTTTGTATTGTTAGAGTATTAAATGGAGGTTTTCATATCCAGGAAACAGTAATCTCTCTTTACAAGCTTTAGAGTAGGGGAGGGAGCAAGTGCATATTTGAGGACTCCTGCATTTCAAGCAATAACTAGACCTGGTGAAAATAAAATAGGCTCTCTGGGCTTTGGGTTTGTCAAATAAGTTAACAGGAAAGGGTGGTAGAGGGTTTCTAAAGTTTCCAGAAATACAAAATGAAAATATGCAAGTCCAAAAAACACTGAGAAGTATTGCTGAAAATAAGATTTGGGGACTGAGTAGATGTAGGCCACATTTTCCATCTGTGCTTGAATTTTATTGTGTCCCAAGCACAGAATTACCTGGCACAACTAAAGAATCCACGTATGCAGGAGACGGACCTCTTGCAAGTTCATTCTCTGAAAAGAAAAGTGAATGTCTTTATCCCCTTCAACCTCAGCACGTATGTGAAGTGGCCACAATAACTGTGACCAGCAACGGGGACAAAGTTGGAGAACGCTCCAGGAAAAAACTGGAGAAGCTGAACGCCTGAAAGGTGGTCTGATTTGCAAACCACTACAAGTCCCATAGAGTAAGCTAAATCAACTCAAGAGCCGCAGAAGTGCTTAGCACCCTCTTTCTCTTACTTTGACAGTTTAGGTGTGGTTTCTAAATCCCCTCAAGTGTGAGATCTGTGCATGGGCTTCTTAACAGTTTTCAACATTTTCCCCTTCTTGAACCTTGTGTTGGAAACCAACACCTTCAAACATTTTCCAGTAAGAGACAGAAGAGAGAGAAAAAAGATTCCTTTGACTAGCCCTCGACAGATTAGTCAAGAGGCTGAAGGCTTCTACATACTTAGAGTAAGTGAGAGACCAAGCTCAAAATCCTGCTGCATCTAAATCAAGCAGTGAGCCGAATGTGATATTTTATATCTATCTCGCATGAGTGTTATGACCCTTGTATTATTGAGTGCTTCAGGTTGGATCACTCCAGTTTTTACAAGAAATTCTGGTCTCTAGGTCTGCAATGTAATTTTTAATGATGAAATTTTCACTGATTTTTGGAAAAATGTTGATTTTAACAAAAAGCCATTGACTAATACAATCCAAAGAAAACCTGCCGTGCTGGTTCCTGAGGATGTTCGGACCTGACATTAGCCCAAGTTAACCTGAGCTAGGACCCGCAATTCTCTTTCACTCTTTACCCACAGTATCAGTTGCTGAGTGTCTCTAGAGATGTCCAGTCATAACATAGCAAACGCCAGTAGACTGTGCACAAGAATATGCCCCATGGCCCCACGGTTTTTTGCAGAGCCAATAACATTTCTTCTGCTGCTCTGCAAATGGCTTCCTTTTGAGAATCCTAATCCCTTATAATCAATGTGGATAGGCACAGTTGGTTCCCAGCACTATAATTAACATAAGCAAAGTGCTTTCTTTCAAAATTTGCTCTGCACGGAAAGCAGAAGAATGACGAAGAATGTGCAACTGAGGATTATCAAGCAAAGCAACACAGTAAGATGATAATGCTTTTGCTATCTTGCCGTACAGACTGTGTGAATGGAAGATTTTATTATCCATTCAAGAAAGACTAACACATCACTTACTTAAAAGAACAACAATTAAAAACCACATTTTAAGGTACTTTCCTGGAATTGAAACAGTAACAATTTCTTGAAATTTTCATGGAAAGAGAACAACTCTAACAGAAAGCTCTCTACCTTCCATAACCGATATCAAGCCTCATCCAAGGCTAGGAGGCTTCAGATCAAGTTCTGCAGCGTTAACTTTGCTTCAAGGACTGAAATCAAACTTTCAAAGAGCAGAAACTAAAAATGCCAAGCAGTGATGGAAGGCATACTCAGGACCTATACAAAAGGAAATTTCAGCCCAAGCCAAAGTTGAAATGGAAAATGAACATACTCCTTTCTTAAACAGCAGTACTTTAATGAAGATGAGTATGTTAGCATCATTATCGTCTTGCCTTATCTAGATAGATGGATGCCACTACTTTTACCTAAAAATCCCAGAACCACACCAGTTTAGCCTAGTATCCTGCCAAGCTGTGGATGCTTAAAAGAGTATAAAAAAACCCTATAAAGTAGTAAGAGAAAGAGAGCATATCGGAAACAGAACAAATCATTCCTCCTCAAATACGTCAGTCATCCCGGTTTTTGGCAATCACCAGCTTAGGTGATTTGTATCTGTATCTGAATCTTTGGCCTGCACAATACTTTGCTGGGGTGAATTTCACAATTTTATTCTGAGCAGAAGTAAAAAATTCTTCTTCTGTTTTAAACTACTGACTCAAAATTTCATTAGATCTTCTGTCATGGAGCACAACAACATTCCTTTTCTATATTAGTCGTGGTTTCATATGAAATCATGCTCAAGAGCGGCTCTTGGTTTTGGTGCTTCCTTGCAGGTTCCCAACCTCTCATTGTCACTGCTGCCCTTCTCTGCACACTTCCTAGTTCTACCATGTCATCTTTGAGATGCAATAATCGCAACTGAAGGCAATGAAACATCCGGGCATTTACACGGCAACATAATAATGCTTAGTGCTTGTTCTCAGTTCCTTTTTTAATTCTATATTTGCCTTTTGCCTGGTGGTGACCATTACACTGATATCTTCAGAAAAAGAGCTAGAACCATTCTAAGATTGAGGGGCTAAACAAGAGCCTGTGATGCTATGTGTACACTTACAGTTATTTTCTCCTTATGTGAATTATTTTGCATTTTTTGACACCTGAATTTCTTCTGCATTTTATCACCCACAGTCACATACTTCTGCAGTATCATTTCCTTTTCATTCATTTTTACCTTGGCTAGCAGTTCAAAGGGAGGAAACAGCAATCTCCAGTACAGTCACCCCTGATAGTGTTGAACAGTAGCCCCCAGCCGGTGGGGAAATGTTTTGATGTTGCTCTGATAGGCCATGAGACGTGGTCAAAAACCACGTTTCTTGCCTAAGCCCCTGCTATACCGGCATATATTGGGATCAAATAGTAAAAAAATGTAGAAAGATGAAAAGATACAGAGCTCACACAGAATGATGCAGATAAGATGCACAACGAGTGCAACAGTGTGACGGAATATGCGATGAAAGCTATTTACTACAGACTAAATTTATACTCTCAAGGGTTCAGAGGAAAAACTTGTTTTCAAAATGAGCCCAGTTTTAATCCAAAATATCAGTGCTGCATTACTGTACTAAATATTCCTAATGAGCATTGCTAAAAGCAACCTGTTTAGCAGACAGGTGACTTAATGACTAATCTGAAGTCTGCAGACAGAGCGATGAGATAATGTACCCCCCTGAGTGAATCTTTTGGCCAGAATAGAAGAGCAGCTTCAACGGATTAGCCATGGCAGCACTCTAGTACCTGTATCTGCTGATGGACGAAGGATGTGAGCTGACTAGCCGAGAAAAGAAAGTAGCTGCTGCGTCAGCAGTACTGTTATGCTATGTTACAGCGAGAGCTTTTTTCTCATGATCATTTTTTCCTTTAATTTTTGGGGGGCTATTTTGGATTTTTAAGGGTAGTTTTACTGGTTGGCAAGCCTTACTTGCGAGAGAAGAAAACATTAGGGGCATTCCCCAGCCATGATTTCCAGTGCCTGAAGCCCCGTTTGTGAAACACATGTATTTGAGTCATGGAAGGCTTTATTTGATAAAGCGAGATCTGGACTGCTGAATTAAACATGGCCGTGAAGCCAGTTTCTTTTATTGAATCAAGCCCTAAGGTGATCATATTTTCAGCATAACAATGAGTCAATTTAACCCCATTGGGAATTTTTCATGGTATCATATGTGCTGCATCTGGCACCAGAAAGTATTAAAACTGTGATTTAAATAAATTATAATATGCTACCCATGCAGCCTGAAAATCAATCACAGAATGATGCTACTGCCAAACTATCTTACCATTTGGAGACTAAATATAAAAACAAGAACTAGCCCAAACCCCTCTGGTCCACACAAGCCGATCTGATGAAATGAATTCCTGTTGCATCATCAATATTGAAAGTGTTCTAGTTCATTAACAAGAAAGAGCTATTTAGAGAAACACTTATCATGAAAGTCATAAAATGGCTATTTGCCACTCTGATTTGCTGCTTTTGTCAAATATATAAAATCTAAATTTATCAGCACTTCTTAAAACAGAAATATATGAAGAATTAACAGTGGTGCCTACTTGAATGCTGCCCATTTGCTAAAGCTATTTCATCATCACATTACAGCCAGGATAACCATCGCTGGCAGAATTTTGGGCAGAAAGCAGAAGTTACCTTGGTAGTGTACGTATGTCCATCAGAACCGCAGACAGCGCTGGCGTGCGTCACGGGGCATGGCTTGCACTTTACCATGTTAGCTGCTCCAGTCCAGTGCTTCTGAGCCAGATTTCCTTTCTTTTGTCGAAGGCTGTAAAATAAAGGACACCAGTTTTTTGGAACATGCGCACATAAAAGAGCAGAAGGAGAATTTCTGCAAACAAAGCAAAGCTTGATTTTTAACAGAGTATTAATTTAAAGCAAGGACATTAAATATAGCTTGTAAGGATGCTGCTGTAACGTGGCACATCACAGCAGACAATCTAAGAGTTATAAATGGATATGCAGTACTAAATTAACAATACTTGGCAGCTTCATTTTGATTTATAACTGCAAATGATTTCACTTATAAATAGAACCATTTATTAAACAGCTCAGGACTCCTGGTGAAGCAGGCAAACAATGCTAAATCCAGTTTGTATTTAGAGAGACTTTCACCAGGCCTTCTCCAAGTTGCAACACTCATGCCAGTAGAGGAACTACTTTGTAACTCACGTTCAGGTATCTCCACAGATGACTGTTCTTATGTATCAGGCAAACTGATGTTTAAAGTGAGCCATCTGCTGAAAACATGTTTTCACAAAACACAGGGTGAATTTTCAGATTTATCTCAGACATGTTAAATTCCTTACACAAGGTGATTAAATCAGTCCGTAGTTGTAGGAACCTAGGCACTGCTGGCCTCCAGAAAACAGCAAGTCATTTAAAATATTCAAAAAATTACTGTTAAAATCGAGTTCAGTTAAGAGTAGGCAGCAATAATTTTAAGGCAAAATCCTTCAAAAATATTGCAATTTATATCAAACTTAAAAAAGCATACAAATACAGATAAAATCTCTAAACAACAACTTTGTCCTTGTACGCGTGGTAACTTTTTTATATGCCAGCTCCAGAAGAGGCTTGATTCGTAGCTCAGTCACCAGGAATGCCATAAACTGACAGTGAGCATCCCCAAATCCACAGATGCGTTTGCACCACAAGAGCGACCGCAGTTTTCCTGAAACCATGGACCACTCAGTTATTGCATTAAAAATGTCTACAAAACGACACCTGTTCCAAAAATGTATTGCAAAATATGTGCAATTGATTCTGATTAATAGCTCATTTTCCTATCATAACGAACTACTTGCTTGGTACAACATTAAGTAATTATCACCAGCATGCTGTTGAAAGCTCATTAAAAGTTTGCTTTCTAAACTGCAAGTCAATGTTACAATGCAGATTCATTTTGGCCGTGTCTACTTGTCTTTTACTTCAAAACATTTGCAAGGGAAGGGAAGGCATCAGATTCGTCGCAAGCTCTTAAGAAAAATAGCTGCCATCTGCTCTTATAGCACAGTAAAAAAAAAAAAAGATATAACAGTTTGGCTGGAAATGCATTTCAATATACTGCTGATTGACACAGTTTTAGAAAAATATATACAGATATATTTTAAAGCAATTTCACTACGGCTTGCAATTTGCTACATAATACTGACTCTGATGTAATGACACATTCCGCTGCTAAAATAATAAAAATTGTCTTCTTTCATCTCAGTTCAAGTTTTCTTCAAGTCAAACCTTTGTCACAGTGATGAACAGAACTATCAAGAAGCTTGTGTCCACAAAAGCAATCCAATCACAATATCACAAACTATGAAAAGAGAAGCCTATTATCAAAGACAAAATCCCCTTTGTAATTTTGAAGCAGTTTTCTTAATGCAGGGAGCAGCTTTCCCTCTTTCAGCTGCATCCTGCCTTACGGAGGTATCATTAGTACAGATGCTAAAGGCTGCAAATGTGGGGTTGCTTCGTTCTGAACCGAGACACGAGTCCGTGTGGCCGCACTGCCCTTCCGGACTGGGAGGGCAGTTCCTCACATGGCTTTGGACTCGGTAGTAGATGCTGTACAAACCATTTGCATCAGTTTTCCAACAGTAACTTTGACTTTTCTATAAGCTCGTCTTCTCCAAAAATGCTTTGTCACTAAAGTGTAATGATTAACTTATTTCCTGCCATTGCTTCTATTACAGGGGTATTTGTCTTTGGAGCTTGACAAGAAAGTCCATTCTTTCCCTTTACTGGTGGTCCTGCAGTTTGAGGAAGGTGCAAACTTTGAGTCAAAATATGATGTTAGGATGCAGTAATGGAGAGCGGTAAGCAGAGACTGGAGAGAGGAGATGTCAGAGGTGCTGTGCTCCTTCTCCGGAGACCAAGGGAGGAGCGACTACAGTACAGAGCAGACTTCTACCTCTGCATAGCCTTGGACATCCCCAACCACAAAGGGCAGACTGTACGCAACAGGCAAAACTGTTGGCTTTGGGCCTAGTCTAGAGCAAAACAGCTAAGGAATGCTACTTGAAGCGTAGCAATTAGCTCTATTCTCATCAATAACATTAGCCACAAAACATTCGAGTGCATATGAGTGACTGAACCGACCAGCAACTCGCCAAACTCAAACGTGGATTGAAATTCTTAGCTAAACCGAGGCCTAACGATCTACATGATCCTGAAACTTTGACTGGTTCGTATTACATACATGACTCTGGTCCACAAACGCTGAACGTTTAGGCAGTTTCAGTCACTTGAACCTGATTTGAAATATTTCACTTCTCTGTGCTGAAGGCAGCAGCAGCCTGTCCTCTTCCCGCCAGCCAGTGCAGCTGCAGGATCTTCTTTTCATGTTAGGAGGAAATTTATTCCCTCAAACGGAGCGGTATTTAATTGCAAGGAGAATTCACGGCGGAGGGACTCTCAGAGCATTTTATTCTTTCAAACAGCAAATGCAAGTTTTAACAGTGCTTTCTCTAATGTGCGTGACGAGGCAGGGGATTGCTGCCAGAAATCCGCAGCGATTCTGGCTCCTGCTTGCGCGACCGCATTGGCAGGGTGTTGCAGCAGCCATTTTGGTTACAAGAAACAATCTGGGTTTGAAAAAGTGGAAATACTCTTTTCAAGTTACACTTGTGGCAGAAACAATAGAGCAAACGTCACTGTACTCGAAGCAAGTCAAATTCCTTTTTGCCAGCTTGGCTGAGTGAGCAATAGCTGAAAAATTTAACTGCATACCTAAATTTTCCCCCTTCTGATATCAAAAATATAGGTAAGCACCCACGTCCTAGAGGTGACATCTGCTTTCCAACAGTAAAACTGTATTTTTCTGGAGTGATATTTTGAGAGGCTGGATAAGACTTTTGCAAGCTTTTCAATCCCATAACCCCTGACAACACATCAAACACCCAAGCAAACAAATTAAAACCTACTGGCGGCCACAAGCAGCCAGCCTGCAAATCCCCTCTCAATGGCAGGGCGCAGTCCCCGGTGCTGGGAACAGGTTTTGCTAGGCTAATCACCCTGTTTTAGAACAAATGTGGCAGGAGCAAGGCAGGCCAAAGCCAATTAGCCCCCCTTCCCCCCCTTTTCTCTTCCTGACAATTTAACCAACTTTAATCCCACTTTAAGATTCAGAGTTGGAAAGCTGTACTGTAAATCATTAGAAAATAACAACTCTGCAGAGAGAACAAACCAGAAATTCCCCATGGGGAAAAGGTCCGCCGCGTCCAGAAGGACAGGAGGCCTAAGTATTTGCCATATTCCAGAAGCAAATAGACATAAAATGTCTTACTCAAATATACGGACTCAGAGACAAATCCTGCCTGCCTTCAGTTTCTTCAGCCTGGCGGAACGATGCACTGAAGGATGCGAGATTTAAGGAGCAGTTAAGTTTTACAGAATCTAGCCTCTTAACGTTTTAATGAGTAAAGAATTGTTAGCGGTTGACGAAGTTCACGTTTCAATGCGGTGCGGACACACCTGACTCAGCTCCATTACTCAGACACGGCGCTCATTGCCCACTCTGAAAATACGGGGCAACGACCACAGTTTGGCTCGCACGGCAATGGGGAGACTTTGGCAGGGTTGCCGGTCGTCCCCAGCCAGGCGCTGGGACTCCGGATGGTGCCACCACGCAGCCTGTCCTGAAGCCACCAACACTTGCAACCTACCCCAGGTCTCCCAAGCACGGCGTTTTGGCTTTGGAAACCGGAGCGCTGAAGCTTTGGGAGACCTGGCTCAACCCAGGATTTCCAAGGCTTCCAGGTCCTGGGTGGAGAGCCAGAAGCTCAGTCCTGATCTATGCCACCGGGGGGGCTGTCACGGCCAGCAGCCCCGGCGACACAAACCCTGAAGTCTCTGCCCTCCTTTGCTCCTTGCTGGCACCACTGGCTCTTGGCACCGGGACAGTTCGTCAAAAGGGTCCGAGCTCTGCCTTTGATTCAACAGAAGTTTATCAAATCCAATGCCTCAAGCAAAACATTTCACATCGAGTCATAGTTTTCCAAAAAGAAGCTTAATTTCTAACCAACTGGATGATTTGGACCATACTGTTTAGTAATCTCTGCATCCTTGCCTATAACCATTCTCGCCAGGATGGCACATATTTGACGATAACCTGTGGCCAGGGACCAAAATAAAAACTCTTGCAGAAAAATGATATTTTGTATAAAAAACAGTTTTCCAAGACATTTTCAGACAGGAAATATGTTTACTGGCTCAGATTTGGTCTGCAATACAGCGAAGGCCAGAAAAGCACCATTTTATCAAATCTGCGTAACACAGGTCATAGAAGTGTACCTGCTGAAACCCAGGAAAGAGGAATAATTTCTGTTTTTTGGCCTTGAAATATCCTTGGAAAACTTGAAATTTTTAAAATATTTTAAAGTAGAATTTTAAACAGGAAATGTATATTTTTTAGGGTCATACACAGACTTGTCTTCATGGACATGACTTGGAAGGGATCACCGAAGAGCATCATAGCCATGATACCGGAGGTGAGAGTAAAGCACACAGAATGGATAAGCTTTGTTTCAGCCAATACTTATTTCCAAACTGCTGCTCAAGGTTCATTTTCTTACTGATTACTAAACTAATTGATAAGACGTTAATCCATTTATCTTTTGAGATGACGGTGAACTTTCAGATCCTGCTCTGTAATTGATTCTCACTGTTGCTGGAGTCGCTAGGTGAAGCTGTGGTGAATATTATATGATCACATGAGCAGGTGGTCTAGAAAGATATGAAAATACAAACGGGACCTCGTAAATTTGATATAGA